GAATGCAGTGGCCCCAGAAGTTGCTCTACAAAAGGCGAGGAAAGATTCTCCCTCGAGCCTAGACAAGGAACACAGCCCTCCTATACTTTGAGGGTTTGTTTTGTTTTGTTTGTTTGTTTTCCTTAACCCAGTTCAGACCCATTTTGGACTTCTGACCCAAATTTAGAACTGTAAGATAATACATTTGTGTGGTTTTCAGCCACTAAGTTTTTTTTATGGCATGGATAGGAGACCAATACAACGTCCAACAGAAGATTTCAAGATGCGACAAAGGAGAAAGCCACATCAGCCAAATCTGTGTCTCTTCATAGAAAGCCAAAAGCGTTCTCACAAGTGCTGCCAGCAGAAGTCTGTTTTCTTGTCAAGAACCAGAGTCAGGCCTGGCATCCACCCCTAATTGAAAGAAAGACCAGGAGGGCAGTTATTTAGGCCCTCACCTCAACATTGAGGGGAGCTAAGGAGAAGGGCTGAGAACGGCTTTTGAGAAACTCATCAAGTGTTTTACACTTTTCTTCTGAAAGCTCTGAAGATGTGATTCTACTACCTTCTCATTAATCAATGCCCCAGAGAAAAAATATGAAAGGATCTTGATTTTAACTATTGTTAAATACAAATTCTGTGTATGTGTGTGTGTGTGTGTGTGTGTGTGTGTGTGTGTGTGTAAACTTACAAGGCATTAACTGGAAAACTTTCTCCAGAATGTATATTGGCATTGATTTTGCTTATCAGCTATGCTTAGAAAATAGCAAAATCTCCGAATTTTCAGTCTCATGATTTTTTTAATTCAACTATGTTTAATTTTTTAATGTTTATTTATTTTTGAGAGAGAGAGAGACAAAGAGACAGAGTGTGAGCAGGAGAGCGGCAGAGAGAAAGGGAGACACAGAATCTGAAGCAGGCTCCAGAGTCTGAGCTGTCAGCACAGAGCCCAATGTGGGGCTCGAACCCACAAACCATGAGAACATGACCTGAGTCGAAGTCTGATGCTTAATGGACTGAGCCACCCAGGCGCCGCTTAATTCAACTATTTGATAAATATTTGTTAAGTACTTAATATGTGCCAGATGTTAAAATAAATTGTGTTAATTTTGTACTTTCTTTCTGTCTTGTGTATTTGATCTTTCCCATTCCAGAAGTATTGTTATTTTTAAAGTTTATTTATTTATTTTTGAGGGGGGAGGAAAGAGAGAGAATGAGCAAGGCAGGGGAAGAGAGAGGGAGAGAGAATCCCAGGCAGGCTCCATGCTGTCAGCATGGAGCCCAACGTGCGGCTCGATCCCACAAACTGCGAGATCATGACCTGACCCAAAACCAAGAGTCAGACACTTAATTGACTGAGTCACCCAGGCGCCCCCAGAACTATCACTTTAAGGTTAGGGTTTCGTACTGTATTCTCCAAACCTTTTACCTTCTCTGTTATTTAAACAATAATCGATTTAGGTCTCATACCTTGAGCCTTCCCGCTTCATAGGTTATATTTCACCGGTTTGTTTTCCCCAGAGTTTTGTCATTTCTTTCTTTCTGCATGACTAAGATTTCATTTTGGCTATTGTGCCTTCCTTCTTTTTTTTTTTTTTTTTCCTCACTCCCTTTTTATTCCAACCTTTTAAAATAGTTTTCGGATCTGTTCTCAACTCGGTATGAATATAAGGGGAAGACTTGTTCTTTAAAACCTGACACTGCTCTTCCTTTTCAACTTTGCCTCATATGTTTGAAAGGGCTCAAGTCTTGTGGATGGTGCTGTTGACTCATTCTTGGCAGCGACCTGTTCCCTTTGTTGGTGCTTCGAGGTCTGATGTGAGAGATTCCAGAATCCCGGATGAATGCAGAGATAGAGAGCTGTCAGCTAAGCCCAGGAAACACCCAGCAGCCCGGGAAACAGAAGATGCTGTTTCTAGATGTCCGTCTAGAGCTGGAGGCAGATCTTGCAGGAACAGAGGCCACTTTTCCTGTGTGGGGTCGTGAGGGTGTTTTCAGAGAATGCTATCTGGGACTGGAGCGAGAGGACAAGACTGCATTTGACTGGAAGAGCAGAGTAGGCATCATTTGCTCCATCTGGGGCATCATGTCGTGCCTCACATCCTGTCTGGATCTGAAGAAGGAAGACCAAGCTGACAGAGGGAAGACGCAGTGTGGCAAGAGGAGCCCGCATCAACCCTGTCCTGCCAGTGGGGGCTGCCCGAATTCTTATGAAAATGCGTAATGCTTGCAACTCTGATTGTTTCTATGAGTAACTGCGGAGGATTTGTTATTTTTCTTTTGAGATGAGGTCATAATTATTTTAGTGATAGGAAGCTCTTAGCATTTCCATTCACTACAGTAACTTTCCTAGGAATCACCTTTGAGCACTTAAAATACGTATTGAGGATGATGGACTGGAGGGAACATACCAGCAAGGATGTCCTACAGAAAGCTTCTGTCTTCACAGATTGCAGGAAATCGTATGAAACTGTGATCATCTTTGCTCATTTGTAGCAGAGGCTGCTGGTCGCCTAAACTTCTCTCTCTTCTCCTCTCTCACAAACAGAACTTGAGTTTTATTTGGTGAAGCACACACTTCCCTGTCCCTTTCAGGTAGGGGTGGTCATGCAACACAACCCTGGCCAATAACAGACAAGGACAGGTCAGCGGGTGGGCCTTCCGGAAAAGTTCTTTAAAGGTGCTAACGCAGCCAAAGCTCTGCTTTTGGTTCTGGGTCCATCCTCTTCTTGACCAGAGCTCACAGGCATTATAGCTGGAGCAGTGCTGACATGCTGAGAACCCGGAGAACGAGGCATCGCCTGAAAGATGGAAGGCAGGAGCCTAAGTCTTGCTGACCAGGAGCTGCCCCCGTATTCCTGAATCACTCCATTTGTTTAAACCACCGCCCTGCGACTTTGCACTTGTTCTATGCAACACTGCTGCCGTGTCATGCAGCTGAAGTCAGTCTCTAAGTGAGAAAACATTCTGTTGTGAGACAAGAGCCCTCCTTTTTCTCTCTGCACACTGACACTTCTGAATGTCTTTTGATTATTGCTTGGTTAAAGTAATGTCATAGTGTAAGGCTCTCATGGGGAAACTTTGAAGATCATTCACTTTCAGTGAGCATCCAGGATATCAATCACCACTGGTCTAAAAGTCAGTTGCAAACTGGGTTTGTCCTTCAAATAAACCTGTACTGTAGGAAAACTCTAGAACACTCTAGAAATTTCTGAATGGGGAGAAAAAGTATGAGTTGTATAAATGGGCACTTGGCATTTTTATGGGGCACAATATTTAGAGACCAGACACCAGCTTTTGGCAAATAAGACTGTATTTAGAAGCCACAGGACCTTGGGGCACCTGCCTGGGTGGCTCAGTCGGTTAAGCATCTCACTTCGGCTCAGGTCATGATCTAACAGTTCGTGGGTTCGAGCCCACATCGGGCTCTGTGCTGACAGCTCAGAGCCTGGAGTCTGCTTCAGATTCTGTCTTCCTCTCTCTGTCCCTCCCCTGCTCGCACTCTGTCTCTCTCTCTCTCTCAAAAATAAATGAACATTAAAAAAATTAAAAAAAAAAAAGCCACAGGACCTCGAGACAGGTCAGGGAAGTGACTGGGCCCTGTAAGTTTGTGTATCTGGAACCGTAACTAAATAACTAATGTCTTGGTATGGGAGATCTGGGGGCTCTGCAAATTCCTTTATTGATTTTTACTAGAATGCTTATCCCAGAAGTTACTTATAAAGCTCTCTGTAATAACATAGGCTGCATCCATCATCCTAAAGGGAAATAAGGAAGAAGGAAGAAATTGAGCATCCTTGGGTACTGAAAGCCTGAGAAGGAGGCAAAAACAGAAAAAGAAAAGAGGCAGAATCAAAGATCCATCCCAAGCCACCTGGAGCTTTGTAATCTGGCTCCAGATTTACATGATAGAGGGCTGTGTCCCAAGATAATGAATTCTGTGAGCCACAAACGTTATTAGGTCCTGCCCCCCAGTGCAGAACAAGTTTAAATACTATTATGTTTGATTCACTTATTCTAAAACACTTCGGAGCACCCAATGTGTGCCAGGCACTGAACAAATTATGGCAAAGATTTATGTTCAACTTTAAAAAGAGATTCATTACGTTGCTTTTTAATAGCTGCAGGTGGCAGCATAACTTAACAATGCATTCTGTGCTCTCCACCTACCTTTAAAACGTGGTTTAACACACAGGAGATGATGATACAGGGCCAATCGGAATCACCTCTTTGCTTGCAGAGTACAAGGGTGCTTTCTCTGAAGACTGGACCCCTCGCAAATGTTATCAACAAGAGAAAAAAATGCTCATTACATAAGCCTCGCACAACAAAAACTTAATTTCAGATCATAGGCACCTAATGGGCAGTGTTAACAATGGGATACATCAGGCAATAGAAAAGAACAGATATTTTTACTATGCTGTCAGCATATGCCATGCATTGCAAATTACTACTGGAATTTCTGGGTTTTATAAAGTAACTTCTGTTTTTGTTTTGTTGCTGCTTTTAACATAATTTAATCGTGCGCTTTAAAGAAAAAAACAAAAGTTTCCACTGCACCCAGAGCTTTCTGGCAGTCATGTTGTTACTGTAACTAGGATAATGAGTTATATAATATCACATACAATGTAAATTCAGGTTTCTTCACAAAAGTGTTTCCAGGCCGCGGAGATGCCTGGTTTGGAAAGGGAATGAAAGCAGCTCTCTACCAACTGAACCAACTGAATTTCAGAGCAAGGGGAAGAAACAAGATCTGGTGAGGCTCACCGGTGCAAGCAGACTTATCGAAGCTGCCCAAATGCAGAATCATTCAACATCATTAGGCTTATTAATTGACTGCAGATATCGAGAGGGAACAACCCCCTTGCCAAGTGGGGACTAGTTCAGTCGCCTTTCAGTTTCCATCACTCATTCAGCCAATTCATTAAAGCCGGTTTGTTTCTCCCAGGTGCCTCCTAATGAGTTGCATTGTTTCCTTTATTGTGCTTGTTGGCTCACAGATCTCTTTCACAATTTTCCTCGGTTTCTGAATGCTCCTTAAGTACCACTTTTGTGATCAGCCCGTTTGCAGCTAGCTAGCGCTTTCCCTCGTCTTGGATAAACGAAGTAAGTAAGTGGGAGAACTGAGATGCCACCCGGTGATACGGGGAAGAGGGGGGAAAGGCCAGAGGGACTTCCACCAGTCGCCTGTGTTCCTTGAAAGAACCAGCAGGTGGTAGCAGCACTTCGTGGGAAAGCCCCGGCTCAGCGCTGTAGGACCGGAACAATAGACCCCCCAAATCCTGTCCCCGGTCGGAGGAGAGGCTCGGGGTGGGCGGAAACATTTTTCCTCGCGGCGCCCCCTCGGTTCCTCCAACCTTCCAGGCACCTCCCAACGCCTCAGATCCCTGTGGGTAGGTTCTCCCTGGGGAGCGGGCAGAGGTGGAGCCACCCAGGGGTGCACGACTTGCCCGGGCAATGCAAAGCCAGGCACCTACATCTGGACTTCCCCTTTCAGACCCAGGCTTCCCAGCCCTTTGGGGAGGGTGGAGTCAGCAGCCCCAACGTTGACCAAGATCCAGGGTCACGAAGAGGCGGAAGAGTTTAAGGCTAGATCACAGACACTTTCATAACCCAGATGCGCCCCCCCCCCCCCCCGCCCCGCCACCGCTCCACTGCTGCCTACCCATCCCCACCCCACCCCCGTACCCTCCGAGATTTCTCAGTTTGTCTTTCCCTCCACCCCCTTCTTTTCCTTCTTTCTCTTCTTCGCAGCTCACGCCCACCTTAGTTTAAACCTGAGTAGGAACTAAAACAGCGGGTTTAGTTCCTAGAGTTGAAGCCGAAAAGCAGGGGTGGGG